TGGCGAGCCGCCTCTGCGCACTGCGCGGGCGCCGACACACCGAGCGCTCGTCCGGGCAGCAGGCCCGGGAGCAAGGGGAAGCAGAAGAGCCCACGGCCGGGGCAGGCCGCGCCCGCTGTACCCGCGTTCCACGCGCTCCCCCCACAACGGTGAGCGCGGCCACTCCCACTTCAAGGGCGTTTTCCGAAGGGCACTCTGGAAGCAGGGCCCGCCCGGACTTCAAGAAGGCCGGCCCAAGGCTGGGCCTCCCTGGGGGTGCTTCCCGGCCAGGAAGAGCCCACAGGGCCTGGCGTGCTGGCCCCGCCCACTGCCCCCCCAGCAGTGTCTCAGTCACTCCACCTGTTCTGCTGCCCACTCTGCCTCTGATGAGCCCTCTCACCCCCATCTCTGGCCTACACCCCCAGTCCTTGTGTGCATAAACACAACAAACATGAAAAAAAAAAAGACCCAAGGCTGCTGGCAATGCCCGGCGCCCAGCTTAACCTGCCCCCACACGGGGCGAGAGCAGGACAGATGGCCAGAACCCCCACGTCAGACCTTCTTGAGGAACTCCCGGGCCACGGTGTGGCCAGCCAGCGGCCCAGGCCCAAGGACACAGCGCCTCTCACAGGCGAGGCTGCACGGGCCAGCACTGAGCCCGTCTCAGGAGCAGAGAGAGGGGTGCGGGGGCCAGTGCTCCTGGGCTGGACACACCCTCAACGTGCAGCCCCGGGCAGTCGGGAAGCCCGCGCCAGCACGCATGGCATGGGAGAGGGCCTCCAAGGCCCCAGACGGCAGGAGGCGGGGGGTCAGGGGGCCGGACGGCGGGCACGGACGGCTTTCCAGTGGTTGCTTCTTCTGAAATGGAGGTGCAGCAGGCTCAGGCCACAGGCCTCTACCCAGACGCCCACGGGACACCAGCGGGGAGGCCAGGAGCAGACTGCGGGGCGCAGGAAGGGGCCGAGGCCCCAGCGGGCGGGGGGTCCGGGCGGCGCCTGCTCTCCTCAGGCCGCGGGAGCCCTGTGCCACAACCACAGAGGGGGCGGCCCGCGGCCGGGCTGGAGGATCACGGGGTGGCTGTAAAAGCAAAAGGCGCATCCTCCAGCCTTCAAAAGGCAACCGTGGCCCTGCTGTGGCAGGGCGGGGCAGACCGGTCCCCAGGGTGGCAGGAGCCCGGGTGGGGGCAGATGACTGCGGGGCAGGGCGGGCTGTTTAAGAGGCAGCCTGGGACCGGAGGCCCTGCGGGGCAGAGCTCACGCACGGGGCTCCCAAGACCTGGATCTCGGCCGGTGGACCCCACACCTGGGCCAGTGAGCCGCAGAAGCCCCACCAACCCAGGGAGCCCCCTCTTCAGGACAGCAGGCGGCAGAGGCCACAGGCGCTCACTGCCTCGGTCCCCGAGTCGATGAAGGGGCAGAAACCCCACCAAAGGCGATCGGGACGCTGGCGCGGACCCAGGGCTGTGCACACCGCTGCAGCGACACTTCCCGCCCAGCACAGGCGACCCTGCAGCCCCATACGCTCTATAGGGGTGCTGACCTCTGTCCTGGGTCAGCGCCCGCACACGCAGCTGTGAGACCTGCCACCCCAAGCGGTGCTTTCGTTCCCAACAAGCCCTCTGTGGGCAACAGGCTGTGCTGCTCCGGCAGGAGGCCGCCCAACCCCGCTCACCCCCAAGGCCCACTCAGCGCCCGCACACCCTCCTCCCTCCCCGGCCTGACGAGCACCTCCTCTCCCCACGCAACAGGAAACACCCTCTAGACCCAGCATCCTGCCCCACCACGTTGCCCCCAAACCGAGCGTGCAGGGCCCCCCCCGAGTGGCCCGAGCCGGCCAGCCGAGCCCGGCCCCACTCGCACCTGGGCCGCGGGCTTTGTCTCCTGGGGTGCAGCACACCCAGGCCAGGGGGAGTCCAGTTCCCAGGGCCCCACCTGCTCCAGGGGAAGGGGCGCGGCTGCGCTCACCTGCCCCCTTCCCCTGAAGGCTGGGCTGAAGTGGGGGAGGCACGCCCAAGGCCTGGCCTCTTGGCCACCGCCAGGCCAGTGTGCGTGCGAAGGAGCGTTCCCAGGACCCAGGAGAGCCACGCCAGACACGCCACGCCGGAGGGTGCGGGGCCAAGGGGGCACAGCATCCTGCCTGGAAGACTCCAGCCCAGAATGGCTTTCCTGCTGGGCCGGCCTCCCGGCGCCCGCCCGGTGAGGTGCAGGTGTCTCCGCCGCCTCGGCTGCAGGCCAGCCAGAGACTGGCGCCAGGGCACTCGGCAGGGCAGGGCCGGGGCGGCCGCGAGCCCACGCTGGCCTAGCTGAAGCCCCGAGGCCCTCAGAAGGGCCACCCAGGGGTGCAGGCGTGCTCCCCGGCAGAGCGGCAAGGGGCCGCACACGCGCTCAGCGGCTCCTGCCGCCCAGGCCTGCCCCTCCGCCGACAGAGCAGCAGGGA